GTACTCCCCCTTCCAGCATGTCCTCAATGAATTTAAGTCTGCATTTTCATCATTCACAAAACATTCCTGGATTCACGCCTTTTTCCAGTTGTCAGTTTCAGACATCACGGACAAGGTAAATGAGGTTCTTAAAGAAATTAAGGCTAAAACAGATGGTGGTTCACCCATCTCTGTTAAAGGGGCAGCTTGCCTTCCTTCCGGTGATTTTAAGGTTTTCACTCAAACTCGTTTTGCAACTGGCTTCTTGAGCATAAGCATGCGTGGACGCATTTATCCGACTCCACTCTTATCACACCCCCGTCTACTTTTCCTACCGTTCTTCATTCAGTTCCCATTTCCTTTACTCCATCTAATCCTTCATCCCTCACGGACTTATGTAAGGAAAACCACATTCATTCAGATCACATCCAAAGGGCTTGTTGGTTGGGCAATCCCCAAGCCAATAAAAAATCCCATGATTCCATTATTGTTAACTTCCGTGAGAAAGAACTTGCAAAAACAATTGAGAAAGGAAGTCTTTTTTTAATAGACTTTGCCTTACCAGTGCTCATTACAAAAAATCTCCTATTCAGTGCTTTCAATAGGGGGTATCAAATATAACCAAATCCACCCTTTTTTAATTGACTGGTTTTGAAAAAACCACCATTTTTCAAACATGTTGGTTCTTCATCCTACCCCTTTGTGGACCCATTGGTGGAAAAAAATATTCTTGGATAATTGACTGGTTTCTAATGGTGGATTTCTTATATTTGATACCCCCTAATGTCTTGAAGTCGGTCATACAGCGCAATTTTGTAAAAATCCTCCTCTTTGTAAACACTGTGGTGATTCTCATAATTCTAATGCATGTGATACTGATGTTGATAATAATGTTTGTGTCAAATGTATTCAATACAAAAAAAAGAATAATCCAAATTTTGTTCCTGAAGAAGATAATGTTTGTTTCTGTCATTCCCCTATGAGTCTTAAATGTCCTCTTAAAACTAAGAATTTTTGCCGAAATTATGAGTCTTAAATGTCCTCTTAAAACTAAGAATTTTTGCCGAAATATTATTAATCAATGAGTAGCTACAACCCATTGTATCCAAACCGTCCTTTTCCCCAAAACTGCCAATCCGGATCTTCATCACTTTCTAATCCCTTCAAAATTCTACAGCTCAATTGCATAATTCTTTTAACTTTACAACACGCCGTCCCGCAGGGACCCTACGAAGGAGGGACTCAAGCGCTATGTTGCGTTCCCTGCCCATGAGGATGAGGAAAAACCCGCCTTTTGTTTAAAGCAATCTGCACCCCTCCTCCCGCAGCCAGCAGCTAATAAGTAGCCCAACAGAAGAGAAATATCCAGGAGATTCACACGGTGCTCACCATCAGGTTGGTGGGCTATTGGCTCCTGGGGAAGCTGGCTCTTTATGAAGGCCATTGGCAGCTGGGTTCTCATGGTCATTTTGTATGACCCGCCACATCTGAAACACCACATGAGGTGCATAACATACAGCCATGATATCAGGAGCTTGGTCCATAAGAGTGGATCAGCTGCATGAGATGTTGTCCCACATAATATGGCCAATTGTCCTCCATCCTCAAGCCTAAACTCACTCTCTCAATGAATAACCATGGGATTCCTTGACAAGATCCCTGTGGAGCCCAAAGCCAATCAACTTCCCAAGGAGCTGGGGGATATGGACACGCTCACACTATCTGAACACATTGTCAGTCAGTGGATTGAACTGTATGTACCACAATCAGCCCAAACCGCTGCAAGTCAAGGTGGTAATGTTGCTACACCATGGCCACACTTCTGGCCTCCCCAAAGCGGAAAAATCCTGCCTCCCTCAGATAGACAGGTTTTCCCTACTTCAAAGGCAGATAAATCCTGCCTGTCCAAGCAAAATTGCCTCAAGGACTTCATTTCTTTTTCCTCTAATCTCATCATACTTTTTGCTCAGCTGATTGATCATTTTCCATGGCTCATTTCTTTTTTTTATTGCTTCTGCCATTTGTTATCAATTGTTTCATCCCACTTCTCATCATGCTCAATGTTTTCTCATCTTGATTTCCTTTCTTATCTTGTGTTTTTTTTTACTTTTTTGCTACATATGATCTGGTTTGCAATGCAATCAGTGTTGCAGTATACAAACCTGTTAAGCCCTTTTGGGGATACAGATTGATGGGCTTTTGTCTGTCCCAACCACCGAAGTAGCAAAAACCAAGCCGTGGGCCGTGTTGGCTGGCCTGGGAGTGATGTGCAAGTTGCTAATTATCCATTTGCACGTGAGGGAGTAAATTTTCTGCTTGTGGGATCAATGAAGGAGTAGCTGTGACCTTGTGCGAAGTGACATTGCATGTGACATGCAATGTTACCTTGCATCTGCAGAATGCGACCTAACACTTTTTGTAGTGACATCAGGCTTCCTGGAAGCAGAAAAAATCCACCTCCCAGATCAGGAGGTCAGCTTTTTTCCGCTCTGGAGGCGGGAAAAGTCACTTGCTAGAGGGGGTCAGTCTTTTCCCACTGTTGACAGCAGAAAAAGATTTACCCTTCCTACAAGGTAGGTTTTTCCGCTCTCAAAAGCGGAAGGAAGTTGACTACCTCTGGGGGGTAGATATTTTCCGCTTTTGAGATTGAAAAATGATTGACTACCCCTCAGGGGCATGTTTTTTCTGCTTTCAAGAGTGGAAAAAAGTCAATGGCCAAAGGGCTATCACAATAACAGAGGGCCTGGAAAGGTTTTACATTTCCAAAAAGAGGACTGCCCTTTGTGTGTTTATCCTTGGGTGGTTGGTCACCCACCAATCATTGATCCTGTAGAAGATCAAACTCAAGATTCAACCAAAAATACAACCAAGAAGACTAACAAAGGTAGAAATACTATTCCTTCTTAGAGCAAATCATCTTATAAGCTTGTTTTAATGCTTCAAAAATCTGTCATAAGAAGGTGCCCAAAAGTCTAACCAGTTGTCCAATCAAAAGGATGATGTCATTGATGAAGAAACTAACCGATCTGATAAGCCTGTCATAACCTTCACACCATCTGAAGAGCTTTTACAGCGCAGGAAAAAGACAATCTCAGCTATGTTACAAGGTTTCTACATGAGTCTTCAAAATATGTCAGAAAATCATTTGTGGCAATATGTGTCCAATTGGCTGGCAGAAGCCTCAACTGAGGGCAAGATGGCTGGACAATACGTAGTTACACCCAGTATTACCAAAAACTTCTTTTCCTATATGGATCACCAGTTTTATTATACATAAATTATTCCACTCAATTACCAATGTGGCTGTCAGTGCAGCACACAAATTACTGCCTCTCTGGGAATGCCACATTTTTCTGACGCTGCAGAACTACTCTTTAAGGGAATAGCGCTTAGAGAGGGATGAATGTTTGAAGGGCTGCCTCTCTGGTTACTGGGAGAGTAAGAAAAACAAGAAAAAAGAGTAGGGACTCTTAAAGAAAGGTGCGGCTAAATGAAGATGTAAGATATGTAAAGGGTAAGGCATGAAGCTAATAAGTCTGTGTGAAAATGTCTCAAGTCTGTAATGCTAAATATATTTCCAAGTAAGTAATGCTAAATCAATGACAACTCTGATCAGGGACGAATGGCAAGGGCCAAGAGAGCACTACATATAAACCTTCTGAGAGGTGATAAGAAAACAAGGGGCAAGGCATCATCACAGGGTACATGTAACAAGGCAAAAAAATGGCTTGGGAGACAGGCTTGAGAATGACATATGTAGCATGGGGAAACAAGGGCTGAAACAGCAGGGATGGAAACATGACATAAGGAGCTACTGTAGAAAGTGCCATAGTATGTAAAGAAGAGAAACAAAGATGCTGAAGTATCAGGGTCTTTCCTAATAGTCTGGCTGTCTTTGATGGGGATTTTCTCCCACTTTATATCTGATTTATATCATGTTTATTATCAAGTGTGGCTGGTGATCCATGTAAAATATTGATTCAAATTTTGGCCTTTGTTGCTCTGATGGAAGTGTCTATGGGATGATTGGAGGTGGCCATGAGTGTGTCACATATTGATGATGTTGATTTGAGAGTTGCTATGATATGTCATTGATGTGAAATGGAAACAGAAAGGTGCTTGTAGAGTGTAACAGGGTTTTAATTGGTCTTACCACAACACCAACTTGAATAATGACTCCATATATACCAAATTTGCGTTCAACTTGGCCTTTACACAAGACAAATTTCCAAATCAACCCCACTGTGATACCAATGCGGGTGCTGCTGAATTCCTATTATTAGCAAACATCAACAAAAAGGATGATTCCATTGCCCTGAACAGTCAGTCACCTTGATCCCACCTTCATAGGCCCCTTTTTTGTTTTTCCAGATCATCAAGTGCAATTGATGCCGGGTAGTATTTGATGCAGGAAAGTTTGAACATTGTACTCATAATGATCAACCTGCTCATTAAACCCTTACACCATTTAGATTTTCCCTCCAAATATCCCAGACTTGTTGATGCATTTCACCGTATCTTTAGTGGCCTTTATGATAAGAGAGTAACAGAGTAACCCCCAAGCAACAGATCCCATACTACCTTGTCAATCATAATTATTTCTTTAATAAAGTTGTCCAGAAAATTGTTTAATCTGTTTCTATTCCATCACACACCTCAATCTCACAATCAAACATGAAAAATTGGTTTAATTCTTTTTTTTGATATGGTTTATAATAAGAAAGGCAATTGTTCAAAAACAGAACTTGTTTTTCATCCAACACATGTATATATTAGGTATCATTGTGAGTACATTTGTGTGGGATCTATGTCCAACAGTTGTATGAGTTAAGAGAGTATGGAGGAAATACAAGCATGGAAAAAATACATAATACTAGTGGGTGGTGGTTGCAGGATGTTCTGATGACCAGCCTCTGTATGATTGATAATATGTGAAAGACTAGATTTTACTGGGAGGGAAGATTGTATTTCTGTTTGGTAGATATGTGGTCTTTTGGGAATTGCGATTCACCCACTAAGCCTTTGTGGTTGTTTTCAAGTTGAAATGTTTGAGGGATTATCCAATGTTCTTTACTGAATATTTATTGCATCTGGTGATTCAAATCTGAGCTGTATACAAAGCTCATTACAGATGTGGTTTTTGATAAACATTCAAGTGGCTTCAGTCACAATATTACCAGCAGCCCATTCCCTACAAGTAACATATTATATGAGTGTGATGCATTCAAAATTGGCAAGTGCTAAATTTTTTGCCTATGTATGGTCCAAATCAATGATTTGTGGGTCCATAAGGATTGAACCAACTCCTTGTAAGTCACAAATCAAGCTTTTACCCTTTGATTCAACATAGGACCAGTGTGTGAATGCATTCATCAATCGGAAGATTCTTGGTTCCTTTCCTGGTTGATCTATTAAAGTCAATGTTACTTGAATGCTTTATCTTTGTGCCCTCTAGGGCTGCTTCCAAGAAAAAAACTTCTGCAGGGAAATCACAATCCCTAGTTGCAACAACAGCATGGTGTACAATGTAGTAACTGACAGATGTTAGCTTATGAAAACTCAAAGCTCAGGCAAAGGATATGGCAAACCTCCATTTTCTTTGCTCTTTGTTTGAATTGTTGTTCAACTTGATTACTTTCAGCAATTATTGACTTAAAATTTCTCAATAGAAGTCCACTCACTAGCTTTGTACATCAGTGCATCCATTGCACAGATTGAAAGTGATGGGAACTCCTATTTATACCAAATCTTTGCAACATAGATTGAGATTATTCCCAAGCCATCTTTAGAAATTGGTTTCACTTCCGCAAGTCTTGAATATGAATTGATTAGGATCCAGGCATTCTTGACAACATTGAGAAGATCATTATTATTCTGTCCCAGAACACATGACTGGGTGTGCAGGCTAGATTTCCCCATTGAGGCATGGTATTTTGAGAATAGTATGATTTTCACACTGAATATTTATATACAATAGAAGTTATAATATCAATTACAAAATAGCTTACCTGCAATACCCCCCTTTATGGGGACCTGATATCATAGATTAATATGATGGTCTTGAAGAGGGATTTGACCAAAGGCTGGGTTGATGGTGGCATGATTGTGATATTGTCATCAGAGGAAGTATTGTTGTCATCAGATGAAAGAGACTGATTAACAACGAAGTTTTTTGGCAAGTTTGAGTTGACTGTTTTCTAGAATGTTGAGTTGAATCATCAATGGAAGATCAAGCTGATGGTTTCATTATCAAGAAATTGTCTTGCAAAGAGGTGTTACTATCACCAGATAAATTGCAATCCTTAGGGCATGATTTGCTAACTTTGGTATTTGAGCTTGATCTTGATTGTGATATTTTTTGTGAGGCACAAGTTGCCGGCTAGGAAAAGGAGTTGTTAGTGGAAGAGGAATATTCTGAATCAGAGGATTTATTTTCAAGAGTTTGGCGTTGATAAATGATGTTGATCTGAACAGGCTTTTGGCCATTTGATTTCCTAATAACATATTCTAGGGCTTCTTGGGTGGGCTATCAAATTTTCCCTTGTGAAAGGCTGACACATTCTTCTGCTAAATTGGGCAAGTGAGGGAGTATTGATTTTTTCTCAAGCTTGACAATAAACAACTGCCACGGAGAATTGAGAAGGTCTTCATAAAGCTTTGGATTGTTAAGTTTGACTTTCTGCTTCACATTGAGAATGCCAGTCTGTGTGTTGATCTTGTTATCAACAAATGAAGAACTGAAATGTTTAAACAATGCTGGATTTTTTAAAACCAGTCAATTAAAAAGTGGTGGATTTGGTTGTATTTGATACCCCCTCTTGAGATGATTTATTTCAGATAACCAAAGGCGTAAGCATAGATTGCAATGGTTTGTCATAGGTGGGCAGGCTCAGTTCCAAGGTAATTTTTCTTCCAGAATTCATCATGTGTGTCACTCTGCACAATCTCCTCCAGTCTTGATACAGCTTGCCTGAGTTGGTTGCTTTGGTATGTGTGTTCTTTCACAAGCAATGCAAGTTTATTTTTGGTCAGGGAGTATTTCTTCTTGACAAATTTGGCCATCTGCCATGCTACCAGCCTCAAATCATCTTCAGGAATGGCTTGTTCTATGATTGCAAAAGCTGCTTGCTGATTTTCACCGGATTTCATTTTGGGTGGCTGGAAGTTGGAGAAGAAATAATGTTCAGTTTTGGTTTTGGCTTTCTGGTTGGACTTTTTCCTTTTCATAATCTCAAGGCTGAACTCAGGCTGGTTGGTACCTTTGGAAGATTACCTCATTGGTGTCAGAAACCAAAATAGGTGTGCACTACAGGAATTGAACCTGTGACCCCAAACTTCCTGAGTGATGCTTTAACCACTAAGCTAAGTGCGCTAATGCTTGCTGGGCTCATTATCTAGACAGGTTCCACCGTAATGCTTTGCATCCTGGGATGATACGGCTTATTTTTATATGCTTATCATTATATCAGGATCAAGACTTACACAGAGTGGGTGTCAGATTGCTTAGAGTAGGAATGTAATATAACAATTGGAACATCTCATATGTTTACTTAACTTCAGATTTGGATCCAGGCCTGTCATGTATGAATGAGTATGTAGGCACCAATGGTAATAAAATAAAGTGTGATAGCTCATAAACTTGTGTGTGGGATTACTAAAGAAAATGTGTATGACAGCCAGTTGAAAAGTGCATCTGTTCTGAAAGACTAACAATTGTGCAACAATATATATCTGAAAGGGATATTTATATTCACGTAGAAAGCAATGAGGATTAAATTGGCTTGTTTGGTTCATTATTTGACATGTTCAAGTTATGCTTAGCCCCTGCAATGTGTATGTCTTTCCTGTTCTCAAATTTGCCTCCAGCTATCTGGTTGGATATTTTCATCATTTTCAAAGAGATTTGTAAAGACACACCCAATCTCGTGAATGAGGTGGGTTCTGTTTGAGCCAGAGGGCAATGAGAGTCTGATAATCATTTGACACATACTATTTGGTTGAAACTTGATACCAAATTGACATTCAAGGAAAATGAAAGGACCGTTGGTTACGTTGTATTCCTTGGCTCTACATGAAAGGAGACTAGCAGAGAAAGGAAAAAGGCAAACAGTAGGGAGGCATGGTCATTTGTGTCTTCATGTGGATGCTTCCAAAGCCAACTACAAATGCTGTTCACGAGACAGAGAGCCCAACAGTCCAAAATTCTATTACAGGGTGTCAATAAGGTCTTTCACATATGTCATTTCACAAGACATTATTATGGCTTGCAAGCATATGTCATGTAAAATTCTAAATTTAAGGTTTGTGATACAACTTTACAACCCTGTCATGCAAGACTTGTATCAAATAGTTTGTAAAATTACACTACAATGCTGTGACACAATTCTAACATATATTTTTGACAAACCAATTATTTAAAACCTTCCAAAATCACAGATGGGCTGTAAGATCATGAAAAAACCCCTATTTGAATAGAATCTCACAACTTATCTGGCTTACAAGACATATCTTGTAAAACTTAGTTTGTAAATGTCACTTATCCCATTAAATAATGGGAGATTTGTCTTTATTTGAAACCCCTTATTGTTAACATCAACTCATCATTTGGTTATCAAATATCAGATATTTACCATTAGAAACTAGTTGCTTTTTCAAAAGTAAAATTTTGCATCAACGGGCCCCAAGAAGAACTGGCAATATGCTTGAAAAATGGTAGATTTTTCCAAACCAGTCAATTATATTCCATACTCTCTATTTGGGGCCTTCTGGGGACCATAGACGCAAAAAAGCAATTTGGGAAACGGACCACTCTCTAATTCTGGATTTGCTATATTTGATTCCCCCTAATTGATGGGTTTCCAAAATCCACCTCCATCAATACAATTTCTTTTGAACAAAAAAAAACACATATCTTTTCTCACCCAAACCAGTCGATTAGAAAATCCCATTTGATTCAACTCATATCATCAGCACCAATTGTCCCACCACCAAACTTTACTCTGTCAACACCAGGATCAGCTCCACTCCATTTCCTCAAAAGCAATCATGCCCAAAGTATCTCAAAGAAATAAAATAATCAAAGCAACCAGTGGTGCTGAAATTGCCATGATGGACAATATGGTTTCAGATCAACTCAGAACTTGAAGAATTTTAGTTTTTCTCTATGAGTCAGCTTCAAAAACTATACATAGAAGCTTGAAACTCCACAAATCAATAATTCAATCCCCGTTATAACATGTCTGAGCTTCAAGGACTTCCAGAATTAAGCTTTGTACAGATGTTTTGTATGACATTTCCTTGATTCCTCAACCTAGTACAGCTCATCAAACAAAACCCCATCTTCTACCACAACTCTGGTGATCCGCAAAGGGAGCCAGCCACCCATCCAAATCACTGTAGCAGTATGTTGTCTTGGATTAAATAGAAATGGTTCAGCTATCTACAGGCTCAAAGATTTGTTTCAAGTTGGATTTGGAACAATCAACCTGTATACTAGACAAGTCATTCACACTATTTATGAATTATGATTTTCTTATGTCACTTGGCCTACCAAATCTGAACAAATAGAATCATCTCAGGTCATGTGAGAGGAAGGATTTGTAGATGGAACAACCATTGCTTTGAGCCAGGAGCCCCCAAAGGATAGGCAACATTACTTTGATTGAGAGAAGAGGTCAGCTTTTTTTGATAGATAATCCTTGTTGATTGATTCTTATCTGCTCTTGGCCGCTTGATCAGATACTCCATTTCAGTAATGGTTGTATGTGGTATCAACAAAAATTTCATATCTTATTTGGCTGGATTTCCTGGCTCATCTCATGATGCTTATGCGTTTTTGCAGATAGAAGTGGTCCAGAAACCTGAAAAGTACTTCAATCAAAAGCAATTCCTACTGGCAGACTCAGCCTACACCAAAAATTGTTATCTTGTCCCTGCGTTCAAAGGCAAACATTCACTCAAACGTCAGAGTGTCAATTTTAACTACACCTAGTACAATCTTGAGTCAGACTTGAACACACCATTGGCATTCTCAAAGGCCATTTTGCAAGCTGCTTACAAGAAATTTGAAATCAAATCTGTAATGCTAAAGAGATGAAGGGGCTGTAAAATGGATAGTTACTTGCATTGTTCTACACAATCTGATGGCCAATCTCAAAGATCAATTGATGTTTCTGAAGACAAGGTTCCTGAAGACAATTCAAGTGACTCTGCTGATGACAATGTTCCAAATCATGATCTTAGAGCTAGAATAAATCAACCCACCCACCAAAGCCACCAATCTTCCTTTGGACTTTGCACCTTAGTCAACCTCAGCGAGTCTGTTTTTTTTGTTTAATCAAGACAGCTGATGATGCATTCTATTTTACCCTGTGTATGTGAGTGTCAGCGCCTTCAATCACCCTTGCTCAAATTGCTTTGAGTAATCACACAGGTGAGTGCCAGTGTCTTCTTCTCCAAATTTGGCCAAGCATACATATGCATTATGCTGGATGTGCCCATTCCCCTGGCCAAAGATCCCTTGGTTCTGTGCGCTCATTCGACTGTCCCTGTCTCAATTTTCTGGGACTTATAATCTGTGCCACTTTCACTGAATGTCGTCAGAATATTCAGACACCAATTTATACACAGTTACCATTTTTTCAGATACATGTACATAACTCAACTCAAATCAAGCTCTTATTTATTTTTCCTAAGCCACAGTCAACAGCTCTACTTATCCACAATACTCACAGCCTTGCTGAATTTTTCACTAAGAATAATTTATGACCTTTAATGAATTTTCTTTGAAGCTTATATCTTATTAGCCTGGCTCACATAGCTGCTTGTTCACAAATAAAATTTGTGCGACAAGCAATTAATGCTTAACAACATCTTGTTAGAATTTTGGTGGAGCTCCACACACAATTTACGCGTAACAGTTTAAATGACAAGCAGTGCAACTTTTCACACACATGATAAAAACGCCCTACGTGAACCAGGCTATTGTTAGCACATTCCCTTAGGGAAATAACCAATCCCAGGTGAGTCTTTCCACCATGGAGCTCTATTATTACTCAGTATTGATTCAAATGTGCTGTTGATTGCGAGCCCTGGTATTTAGCACACGCTACCTCACACTCATCAACACTTATAGTAGCAACCTACACACTTAAAACCTCAGGTGAGTTACACAGAGGCTGACAATGATGATCCTAAAAATGGTCTTGTTTCCATCAAGCTTGATCCTTGCGCACTCCATGGGCTCACTCCCTACCTTTCTTGATTATACTGTTCCATTACTTTGTCTCTGTCTTAGTAGAAAATTCCAGCTTGTTAACATTAACAAATAGATCCAGTTTTTTCAATTTATTGCCATTCATTGGGGTGTATACTGTTTTGTTCTCCCAAGTAAATCATGATAACTAGAAAAATCACAAAGATATTACTCCAAACATGAAATCCGAAGGATCACCAACACACTTTCAAGCACAACAGCCAAATTATCCAATTTTTTTGATTGTATTTCTCACTTGAGCTATCTGACTCAACTTGAAATCTATCAGACAGAAACATGGGGAATCATCCACCCATGGAGGAATTAGTTGATCAGACAAACAAGAGTTGAAAGTGACTGCAGAGAAATATCCAACAAACAGCAACAGTGGACTTGTAAATATTATGCTGACTGTAGCTTTAGTGCAGCATAGTGTTAGTTTAAGCCAAGCTACAAATAAATCTACTGTTAGCACAAATTTTGGTGCGCTGACACTTCAAGATTTTTGGAGAAAAAAACCTTCAGCATAGCATTAGCTGACCTGAAAAGAATCCAACTAACACTAACCAAGTCCCTTGTTAGCGCAATTTCAGCATGGTTAGTGGTTTAAAAAGTCACACCAACTGTTAGTGTAACTCGGTCCTGTTACTGAGAAATTAACTGAGGTTTGATTGTTCTGACAGGCTTGGTCAATAATGCTTATGTTCTAGGTGAATGCTGTAATCATAAATGCCACATCATTCCAAATTAACACATGGAAACATTCCAAAGTAACACCTGGTTATTATTAAAATAAACAACGATAATGAGAATGGCCATGTATTAGGGGGTATCAAATATAACCAAATCCACCACTATTCAATTGACTTGTTTCAAAAAATCTACCATTTTTTAAACGTGTTGGTTCTTCACTTGAGCCCTTTGGGGGCCCATTGATGCAAAAGGAAGTTCTGGGAAAATTGATTGGTTTCTGATGGTGGGTTTCCTATATTTGATACCCCCTATTACTTTGGAGTGATGCACATTCCAAATCATGGGTAAATGTTTCATTGGGTGACCCAAACATTAATCCATTCTTGTGAATGACTCATACATGTTGAATCACTGCAAAGTAAGACATGTTCATTGTTGTAAAAGGTCACAATAGGGGTAATGGGGTTATCAAATGTAGGAAACCCGCAATTAGAAACCCGTCAGCTACATCAATGGGCCCCAAGAGGGCTTAAATGTAGCACCAACATGTTCAAAAAAAGGATTTTTTCAAACCAGTCAACAAGTAGGGG